GCCTTTTGATTGTTTCAATGTTAAAGAAATCGATAGTTATAGTGTAAATTGTCCCGACTCAATTTCTTTCTGAACTGTATATTTCGTCTTCTATTGCAATCGGTGACGGTTATTTTGATACACTTGCTTTTTTTACTATATTTAATTTATATTCTTCAAGTTTTACTGGGAATTACTATATTTTGTGTATTTGAAATTGATATAGAGATACCTTTTGATTCGATTTCCAAAATGATATAGTATGTGTTTTTTTTTGGCAGAAAATCTTGTTTTACTGTATTATTTATCGTAAATTTGATAAATGTGTTGCTTTCACTCATCAATGATGTTATATATGAAGAATATTTACGCCTAACATATCTTTTCTCTTGCTTCTTTTCTTCTACTGAATCGTCCTACTGAATCAATCTGATAGGAGTATTGTATCACAGGAATAGTTACTATTCTTAGTAAGCTTCCATAGAATTCGAATATCCTCTTGATAGAAAGTATTCTTTTGAAGAATTTTTATTTCCATCTAGAGGCAATCTGGCATTGTCGCCAATGTTTATCAAAGTTTTTATTTAACGAAAATTCACTAGTCATAGTTGAGTTATCCCTTTGAGAATTCTTATTTTTTAATGTTATCTAGACTGTCACTTGAAAAACTGCACTCTGCATCATTCAACATGCTATCAATTGTTCAGACGATGAAACCAATCTTACCTTTTAAAGCCTCTTGCATTTCTTCCATTTGTGTAACCCATTCTGGTTTTCGGTACTCTTTTGTTCCGAGTATACCTAAATCGTAAAATTAAATATAAAAGGCATGTAACAAAGATGTAACAAAATTCTTTGGTTTTAAAATTTAGATAAACATATTTGAACGAAACCAAAGAGAAATTTTGTAAGAGAGCCCTTGAAATATGTTATAAATAAGACAGAAAGTGTAAATTGAGGATGTTGCAAGTGTAGTGAATGTAAGGAATTTTGGGACAACAAGCAAGTTTTTACCAAGATGCTATAAAACTTTGATGACGCTTCTCCAATTGAAGAGCGTAACTGAAAAGAATTTAGCTTAACCAGATTATCGAAATCTTTGACATTCATATAGAAAGGAATATTACCTTCTACTGATAAATACGCCGTCGTGGTTGATACACCGAGTGGATTATGAGCTTCGAATATAATTTCGCCAGTGTCATCGGGGAAGGTTTCAGCGATCGTCAATACTGATGTACCGTCTTCAAATTCCTCGATTTGGAATTCTTGTGATGAGACAATTTCTACGCCCTGTTTATACCATTTTCCTTTCGGTTTTGGTTTGCCTTTCATTTTTACTTCCAATCTATATAAGAAAAGATACATATTAACATATATATATATATGCATGAATGTATCCAGACGGGAGTTGGAGGTTCAAATCTCTCCTACGAAATATAAAAAAGAGTAAGTATAAAATAAAGTTAAAGTTACGATTTATAAAATATTACATTTTTCTCATTTAAAATAAAAAATAAAGAGATATTTCAAGCTTTAAAATATCCAAAAAATCAATTCATTAATGCAAAAAGTTGCTGTTTGTGTGTTAATAGAATTGATAACAGAACCCCCCCTCCCCCCGTAAAAAAATCTTGGATACGCCCATGATAGACATTATAGATGTTGGCTCATTATAAATTATAGATACGAATGATAATTGTGTCAGACATTAAGATGCACACGCATGCTTAATTATCATTCATTGAATATATTTTGAATGTACCTAGTTAATTCCCCATCTTTGATAGGAACTAACTGAGGAAGTTTTTTGATTATCTCTGGTGCAGATTCTTCTATATCAGTGTCGAAGATAGGAATTTCCTAGAGACAAAATAAATTTTAATGTGTAATATCAAACACAATCCTGTATCTTGTTAGAGCATATATATTTACTTTCGGAGATAAAAGATCTTCTTCAGATTCGCTTTGTCCCGTAGTAAGGGATGTCGCGATTACCGAAGATGCAATTTCCGAGTCAGGTACGTACTCGTATGCTGAAATTGAATAATGATCATGTAAGACAAACAACTATCAATAAATTACTATTTGCAAATAACTATTTGCAATAAATGGTATACCTTCAACAACGAGTGATGATGTACAAACAGCCTCACCAATAGGATTAATAGCACGACAAGTATATTCTCCAGCATCCTCTGGAAATACTTCGCTAATAGATAAGCTACAAATACCCTCTATGTCCTGAACAATTACAATTTCTTTGCCTTCTTTAATTGATTTATTATTGTGATACCAATCTACTCTAGGCGTTGGTTTTCCTTCAACAACACAAGTTAAGTTAACACTCTCTCCGTCCATAACTCTTACGGGTGACAGTCTTTTAACGAATGTTGGTGAAATTAATTCTATTGCCTCTTCCCATGCTGTTTCTGTCAAATTAACGGTGGCCGTACAAGTAACCGAGCCACCGACGTTTTCAGCACGACAGGTGTAACTACCAGCAAGTTCCGGTGTAACTTCTTTTACCATCAAAATTGATCGATTCTCTTGAGTTACGATTCTTACCTGCGGTGTTGACTGTAATACAAATTATATATTCTTCATTAATTTAATGAAATTCTGGATTGTAATACAAATTATATATTCTTCATTAATTTAATAAAATTCTGGACTGTAATACAAATTATATATTCTTCATTAATTTAATGAAATTCTGGATAATATTATATACTGCTTTAGGTAAGGAAAAATAAAAATTTATTTTAAATTAATATATTATAGAAAGCACTTGAAAAAAATACCTCAAGAGGTTTGCTTTCGTGGAACCATTGAAAGGATGCTGCCGGATATGATTCCACTCCTGTTTCCATGATGACAACTTCTCCTTCTGCAACAAGTTGGGGCTGAATCGATTTCGTAAACATTGGTGCTTTCACTTCACTTGTAGTATCTTTTCGTTCTTTAATGGTAACGGAACTCGAGCTTCTTGCTTCGCCAGCTTTATTCTGAACTCTTATTTCATATTTACCTGTATCCTTTTTTGCTACCTCATTTATATTTAATTCAGCTGTATTATCGTAAATATTTATCTTGTATTTGTCAGTCGGTGTAATTTCAATGCCGTTACGGAACCACTTGACTTCTGGCTTCGGTATACCCTCAAAATCAGCTAGAAGTTTTAGAGGTTTTCCATGCTCAGCTATCAGAGCAAGTAAAGGTCGTGTAATTCGCGGTGCTCTGAGAACAGCTGGTTTGCTCACTTTAACAATGTTACTGATCACCAAATTAGTCCTGCATTCAGCGCGGCCATATTTATTTACAGCACGAACACGATAAATTGTTTCGTCTTCAGGTACAGGTTCTAATATTTTTAGCTTAGCTTCTCCAGTTGTTGGATTAAAAGTCATCTTGATTCTTTCATTTGGTTTAATTTCTTTCTCGCCACGATACCATTTCACTTCAGGAACTGGTACACCGGTTACAACACATTCCAATAAGGCAGGTGTATGTTCTTCGATCATTAGTGGTTTGATTGGAGTTGAGAAATGTGGTGCTATGCCTTCTTCTTCTTTTTCTGAAAATATAAATGACATATAATGTATATAATTGAAAAAAGTTGAAAAAATATATGATAATATTTATAATCAACATGCAACATTAAAAGACATATATACAACTTGATGACTTCTGCAAATTATCTTGTTAATGTATTATACATTTATAATACAAATTTTTATTTTAAGGTTTTAGTATATAAATAATGAAAATATTTATTAATTGTCATAAAAGACATATATTTATTTACTATTGTTTATTAACAATTAGACGATTATTAATTTCATGGAAAAATTATAAATCTTAAAATTTTCGTAAAATTTTTATATTATATCTATATCTATAATGAAAATTTAGCAAATGAGATTAGTAAATATTAAATAATCAAATTTCATTTAAATAAATTTAAATTACACACACATAATATTAAAATTAAACAATTTATATTCGATAATATTACTACCGAATATCACAAGATTGACAGTGGATGTTGCAACGCCAGCTGGATTGGATGCTCTACAAGAATACATTCCAGCATCTTCTTCTTTGACTTTCGTAATTTCTAATGTTGCTGTTGTCTCAAATATAGTCATAGTATATCTTTCGCTCGCATGTAGTTCTTGCTCATTTTTATACCAAGAAATTTCAGGAAATGGGTTTCCTATAACAGTACATGTAAATTTAGCAGGATTCTTCAATTCAGCAATAACAGGTTGTAACTTTTGAATAAATCTAGGAGCAATAGTTTTGTCCTTGTCTATAATTGATATGTCAACTTGAGTTTGTTGTTTGCGTTTTCTTTTATAGTCTTCCATTTGTGTCATATCTATTTTACCGTGTAACTTGACATCTCCTACATTTTCTTTTTCATCAATAGTAGTAATAACTTCTTTGGGTATAATTTCTTTAATTTTAGATTTTGTCTTAATCGACTTAATAACATCTTCATGTTTCTCTTCCAAAATGTCAGCTATTTGTTCCGCAAATTGTATGGGTTTTAATTCAGTTACTTCATCGTCCCTGAATATTTCTTCTGATCTTTCTTCTTTATCCACTTGCTTTATTTCAATATCCTCAGATAATTTTTCAACAGGCCTTAATACAACTGTTTCTTTTTCTTCTTTTATTTTAACAGATTCATGTTTCTTCTTTCTCCATGAAATTTCTTTTGATGCAACCATCTCCTCCATCATTCTATCTTCTTTATGAGGTAATGATATAAGTTTCAATTTACTTTTAGTTAAATCCTGAGTATCTTCGGAAGAAATTATGATTGTCTCTTTTTCATCACGAATCCCTGTAACGGATTCTTCTTGATCAATGGGTACTACTGTAACTTCTTCTCTAAAATCAACGACTTTTTTTGTTCGTTTACTACGTCGCCATGGAGTTGTTACATCTGTCGATTTTTCTTCAAATTTATCCTCTATTCTGTCTGTTACTGTTGAAACTGATTCTAATTTTATTTCTTTGGATTTTGCCTCTTCTATTGGTTTTGAGATAACTGTTTCTTCTTCCTGTATAGGTAGCTTTTTTACAGATTCTAATACGACTTCTTCAGATTTTGGTTCTTCAGGTTTCTCTATTCTTTTCACTGGTCTCAATAATACCTCTTCAGATTTCTCCTCCGGTTTGTCTCTTTTGAATGATTTTAAAGTTATTTCCTCTTTCGTCTCTTCTTCTTTGGGAAGTTTCTTTGCAGGTTTTAGTACGACTTCTTCGGGTTTTGATTCTTCAGGTTTTTCTATTCTTCTCACTGGTTTCAATTGTACCTCTTCAGGTTTTTGCTCCGGTTTTTCTCTTTTGAATGGTTTTAAAGTTATTTCCTCTTCCGTCTCTTCTTCTTTGGGAAGTTTCTTTGCAGGTTTTAGTACGACTTCTTCGGGTTTTGATTCTTCACGTTTTTCTATTCCTCTCATTGGTTTCAATTGTACCTCTTCAGGTTTTTGCTCCGGTTTTTCTCTTTTGAATGGTTTTAAAGTTATTTCCTCTTTTGTCTCTTCTTCTTTGGGAAGTTTCTTTACAGGTTTTAGTACGACTTCTTCGGGTTTTGATTCTTCAGGTTTTTCTATTCCTCTCACTGGCTTTAATCGTACTTCTTCAGGTTTTTGCTCTGGTTTTTTCTTCTTGAATGGTTTCAGTCGTACCTTTTCAGATTTTTCTTCCAGTTTGTCTCTCTTGAATGGTTTTAAAGTAATTTCCTCCTTTGTTTCTTCCTCTTTTGGAAGCTTTTTCACAGGTTTTAATATGACTTCTTCTGATTTTGGTTCTTCAGATTTTTCTATTCTTCTCATTGGTTTCAATCGTACTTCTTCAGGTTTTTGCTTTGGTTTTTCTCTCTTGAACGATTTTAATGTAATTTCTTCCTTTTTCTCCTTGTCTTTTGGAAATTCTGTTTCAGGTTTTAATATGACGTCTTCAGGTTTTGTTTCTTTTGCTTTTTGTTTAATTAATTTTACATCTTCTAGCTTTTCTCCAGCTTGTATTGATTTTCCTGCACGTTTCCATGGTAAATCCATTCTTTCTGTAAATACATCTTCATTAATAATGTCATCTACTTTTTCAGATATCACTTCTGGTTTTAACGTTTCCTTTGAGACCGTTTTGCTTTTCTCAGGTTTTTGCCATGTTATTTCAGAAACTTCTTTGCTATCGGGTTGTATTGATTCTTCCAATTTGTCTGGAACTATAATATTAAAGGTAGATGATTTTTCATCTTGCTTCCATAATAATAAATTTGCCTGTTCTTCAGATTTTGTTTCAACAAGTTGAATTTCTGGAATTTTTTGAATTGTCAATGATTTTGATTTACGACGCCACGGAATTTCTGAAATCTCTGTAGATCTATCCTCTTCCGATTTAACTTCAGGTTTAGTTGATTGTAATAATTTTATTCTTTGATCTTCTTTCTTTTCTTTTTCCTTTTTGCCCCTAATCCATGGTATTAATACTTCTTTTTTAGATCTTTCGATTATACTATCGATTGTTTTGGTATTTAATATTGTAGTGTCTTCCTTTTCGACATATGGCATTCTTTTCACAAACTTTTCTTCGCCTCTCATATTTCTAATTGATTCAACATCTTTGTCCACTTCGACAATAATTTTATCTTCCTCTTCGTGATATAGCATCTTTTCAGTTAATTGTGGACCTTTGGTTTTAACTTGTTCCAAATCAACTTTTTCAACTAATTTTTTTTTCATTATTTCTTTGTCTGTCATTGATACTGGTTTCAATAATATTTTCTCGTGAGTCTTTTTATGTATTTCTTTTAATTCTGGTTTTGTTTTCTTTAAAATTATTTTCTCTTCCGTCCATGATTTTGACTGTAATTTTTCTTGTGGTATTTCCTTTCTCTTGCTTATTTTTTTATCATTGATTGTAGTTTCGCGCTCTGATATAACTTTAAGCAAAACAGTATCTTCTTCTTCCTTATATGTAATCATGTTTTTATCATCGATTTTTTCTTCTTGTATTAATTTTTCATTTGTATGTGGTTTTGATGGTTTTAATTTAGTAACATCATGTGTATCAGTTGAAACTTGAAGTAATGTAGTATCTTCCTGTTCAACATATTTTGAACATATATTAATTTCCGTCTCTTCTTTTGTAACAGATTTTAGATCTACCTTTTCTAAACTTTGTTTTTGGAGCGTTGGTTTAGTGACTTTAGATGATTTTAAATCTACTGTTTCTATAGTCTCTTTTTGGACTTCTTTTTGGATAGGTTTTGCTTTTTTCAAAGCAATTTTTTCTTCCATCCAAGGCTTGGGTTGTTTTATTTTTTCTATGACAGGTTTTTCTTTTTTTATTTTTTGTATTTTTTCGTCTTTTGACATTGTGAGCAAAGAACTATCCTCTTGTTCGAGAAAATTTATTTTATCTACAACATCCACTTCAGAAGTTATTTTTGTCTTTGGTTTTATTTTCTTCGAAATAATTTCCTCCTTTTTCCATTTTGATTCCTCATTTTTTTCTTTCTTTGACACAGTTTCATCTAAACGACGCGATGTTTTTAACAGACTAGCATCCACTTCCTCTTTATAAAGTTCAGTCACAGTATCGTCGGTAACATGTTCTTTGGCCTTTGTTTTATCTTTTGGTACGGATTTCAATTTAATTGTTTCTCCATTAAGTCCATGGATGTCCTTCTTCTCAATCTTTGTCGGCTTCAAATCAATTTCTTCCAACTTTTCTTTTGCTACATCCTTAACAATTCGGGGAATTTTCTTCAAAGTTACTTCTTCCTCGGTCCACGGTTTTATTTGACTCTCGAAAACTCGAAGTTTATCCAAAGAAGAATCTCTTGATTTTGTTTTTATTTTCTGCCATGGAAGTGAATCGCGAGTTTTATGTCGAAGTTGAACACGTCCCTTTCTCCAAGGCAGCGATTCATCACCTGGTTGAAAATATGTTTCAAGTGGTAAATCATTTTCGCCGAAAGCTAATGATTTCAGAACTATATCTTCTTTTGAACCAAGTTCTTGACCAAGTTTTGTATCTACTTCGATATTAGCATCCGTTTCCGCGGGAACCGCATAATAGGCTTCTTTTCTCTCTGTAAGTTATGGAAAATGTGTTTAAATAGTTCGAAACATTTTTCGCGTTGTGGTTAGTTGTTTCACATTATGTATGTCAAATTAAGCAAAAACTTTATTTATATTATGCGAGATACGTTATATTAAATTAAAAAGAATCTATTTATAGACTCAAAACAATTTATCAACATATCCTTTACATCATGAAATTAATTATATAAATAGTTTACTTTTAAATTACATACACACACACACACAC